CTAAGCTTGCTTCTCTCGTGTTTTTCGAACTCCCACCGTGTTTATATCAGAGGACAGAGACACGCGCGCCGTTTTATATTTCTTAACTATAGCAAGTACGAAAAGAATCTTACCTGCAGAGTCGACAGTGTCGTTTATCACGTTCATAGCAACATGGTACTTCTTCTTCGATGGGCTGTGAGTCGTGATGGCAGTGATAATGTCCTTCAGGGTCATATTGAACCACCTAAAATAATCTCTCTTTATCAATAACTATATTTGAGGATCGGTCCGAAGCAGAAGACCGTTGGTCGTGCAATGATAGRAACTCTTCTTTCACGCCTACAGAATTATACACAGGTATCTATAACTGCACGTACAACGGTCGTCTTACTTCGATGCATAGCTTAGGCATRGTCACCTTCCAATATGGCTCAGGGAACTATAAAGGAAACTTGAAGATAGGGAAATGTATCCTAGTATCGGAATACTTACATAGGGCAAAAAGAAATTAACTACGAAGACAATTTTTATTTATCCTTCGAGCAATTACCTGGAGTTTTTCGCTTTGTGCAACTACAACGACTGGAAGTTTGGTAAGCGCTGCAACTCTGTAAAAAGAAGAAAATATTACATGAATAAGAAATATAGTCTCGATCACTCTTGTCATTTTTTTCTTGTTCTATTACAAGCATTGTGAACTTTGCTTGATTAGCGATAGGCTAATTCAGCCCAACATTTCAGGTTTCGGTCCGACGCTATTTTTTAGTAGCCTTTTCAAAGGAAGCCGGGACGTCATATCTAATTAAATGAGTAAATGGGAAACTTTCTTTTCSCTCTATTTTATGAATTTACCTTTCATCCAGTCCTTTGATAACACTGTGTTCAGCCCAAGTCTGCTTACTGTTTCTTCCCTTTACTCTATTAAGATTGCGAGCCAAATCATGGAGATATCTTACAATGCGATATGTTGTGACATGAAGAAACTCGCCTAAATCGATGACACCTAAAACAACGAGATATTTGTAAACGGCAAGACAAGGATGGTTGACATGCTGGTGCCTCAATGACAAAGGATTTCTGACCAGTATATCAAACCATCAATATGGCAGCGATGAGATAAATCAACCATGCAGTAATAAAGCAGTCGGTTAGGTTAACTTAAAAAAAGACATTGCTGTTGATGTTGGCGCAGCTAGTGGGTATGTCATGCCCTGYCCTTGCTCTGCAATAGACTTCTGAACCTTTTACGTCACTACTTGATTTGCAATGCATTGTGGGATCAGTTTCTAGAGAAAACAAAAGCTAGGAATCCGCCATTTTCTGTCCCAAACATATCCCACAATGCCTTTGCGTATACGGTACATGACGTAAAAGCTGCAGAGGTTTATTCCCTAGCAAAGCTCCTAGCAATTTAYCAATTTACATAAGCTGAGCTAATATTTCCAATCTTGAGGCGTGCAAAGTTAACTGAGAATACACGTGACGGACGGCGTACTCCCTTCGCTTTCTCCCTCAGGAAACTTTTCCATGCACTTGTATGAACAATATGCATGCATTGATCAACATCCTTAAAGGTCCAGTTTGCACCATTATGCATGTCCATTATGCTTTGCTCGCCGCTCTGTTATTGTTATGATTTAGACCAAAATAGTATCCAAATATCACCATAAAACGAATGTCAGATGGTTGAAAACTCTAATATCAGCGTTTAAAGTTCTTAAAAAAGTAAGATGGTCAAAGATTCGAAACGCACAGTGCAAGTTATGTACTTTCGGTAAATTGAAAATGGCCGCATTCAGGCCCTCGTGGCCACCAAACCATAATGGTGAACACTGGGCCTTTTTAAAGACTTTAAAAATAGTATTCATTTTTTTTTTTTTTTTTTGAAGCATGCAGTTTTTTAGCTTCCTGAATATGAATTTTTTCTACTTACCATTTCCGTTTTTATCAACTTTCAAGTCTTTAAACCTGTCATAGAGAGGTGAACAGCATAGTTAATTGACTTCGGTACCTGCTAAGTACACCCGATCGACAATACCAAACTACAGTCAAATCAATGGCTAAAGTTTTCTTTATTTTAGACTGAACTTTGAAAATTATCTTTAATGGTAAGCAAAGGCATGTTTTACTGAATATAATTATTTTATTAAAGGTACGGTAATACGAGCAGCAAAATCGTCCAACTTGTCTCAACATTGCTATAAAGCAAGTTGGAAAGCGATATTGCGCGTTTTACTACTAACTGGAGAAACAAATTGTCTCGCATCAAAATAATTTGATACAGCTGGTTGAGCAAAACCTTATTTTTGATTGGCCAATGCAGTCAGCTGATTGTCGCGCGACGTCACTTTGTTGCGATACAAGTTGGGTTGTTGTATTAATACGGCAACATCTTCGAGTTTTGTTGCAAAAAGTAGAACCATCTTCTACTTTCTGCAGCAACCTTTTTCACTGAAAAAGTGACTTGCAACAAAAAATTTTACCGCAAAAAAAGTTTGTTCGCCGCTAGTAAAACGCGCAACATCGCTTTGCCACTTGTTTTGCAGCAATGTCTCGAGACAAGTTGGATGATTTTGCTGCTCGTGCTACCGTACCTTAAACTCTACACGACAAATAGACTTACATTTTCGTGATATCTTTTTGGGAAAAATACAAATCACTCAGGTCGATCATGTTATGCATCACCTGAAAGTGAATATGAAGAAAATAAGTSTGTGATATCACTGGAAAAATCGCGCACTTTTAAAGKTTGTAAATTTGATGTAAATRTTATGTAAGTGTCCAAAATGATGTAAATTTACATCAAATTTAAGCATYAAATWTAAATCAAATTTACATCATTTTGGACATTTACATAATATTTACATCAAATTTAAAGCGCACGATTTCTTCCAGTGTATTGTGATGGCTCAAWGATATTTTTGTGAAATTTGTCCATTGATTATGGCTAAATTACCTCTATGGGGCTTATCACATGATCCTTATTATAATCCCATTCATTAAACGTTTCCTGATTGGTTGGTTCAATGTTATCATTATTGATATCACTAACAGGGCTCGGTTCAAGGACTTGTTTCTTGACTTGTTTTATAATCTGTTGACATTCTTCTCCAGTGAGAAAGTTTGGTATTTCTGTATGGAAATGAAACCATTTTCGTCGTTATCATAATGATATAATGGTGTATCATAGTGGTCTATGGAGACGTTTATATTAATCGATGCTCTACAGTGTTGGGAAGGTTAAACAAATCATCGCCAGAATACATGAATAGCATCCTTATAAGAAACCGTAACCGCCACAGACAGACCCGCTTTGCCCTCCTTAACCCCTAAATTTTCTAAAGTTACTGAGGGGGGTCGCTCCTTTTCTGTAAGAGCTACTAAAGATNTGCCATCCTCTTTAAATAAAGTTTATTGTATTGTATTTGTATTGGTATCTATGTTATAAATTATTGGTGCACATTCTCGAACCCAGATCCTTCTCAGTTTCTCATCGGAAAACTGAAGACCCAGAATCTGAGTGTACAATTAATGCTTACATGGGGAGCTTTTAACCAATCAAATCAAAGACTCGTTAATCCCCAAACCAATGTYTTGTTCTGTTTGGAAACTGAGGTTGTTGGTACGAAAATGATTGACGTAACGATCATCCAAGTGAACATGGCTTTGGACGAAAGCCTTATCCTTTTGGTGTCTGGCACATTGTTAAGCGGCGTTTACACGAGCAATTTTTCCTTGACAAGTAAAAATTGCTCGTGTAAATGGCGTAAAATGGACATTTTTCCTTTTCAATGAAAAGCCAACGTGTTCGCTTTTCCTCATTAACAATGAAAAATTGTTTTATTGCTCTTGTAAATGGACAACAAGGAAAATGTGGCAAGGAAATTGTCAAGGAAAAGTTGTTGATCATTCACACGGGCAATTTTTCCTTGTCAAGGAAAACTTGTTCTTCGTTTACACAACAAAGAAAAATTGTCAAGGAAGAATTGTGGAGGAAAACTTGTTGATCATTTACACGGACAATTTTTCCTTGTTAAGAAACTTGTCAAAAGGAAAAGTTGCKCGTGTAAACGCCACTTTACGCTTTGATTATCTTGCACTTTGTTTCGCGGGTTTGTGAAAACGACTGTACAGTCATAATTTTTTGATAATAATTGCTATTATTTCTGGATTGTTTTCATTTTCAATTAGGATGTTGTCATTATCTTTATTTAAAATACGATTACCAAGAACATCGTTTTATAATCTTATAATATTAATCTTATCACACATTATAATTATATCATTGATTTGTTTGTTTTTCATACCAAAAATCGGAGGACGAAGACTTCTCGTTATAACTTTATACATTTTACCAGGTTCCAATTCCATATTCCTCTCATATCCAACCTTAGATAGACATGCAATATAATATGTTTGTTTATTTAGTAGGTTATTAGCTTTTAAAATTATATGTGAATAAGTTGTTGTTTTTTTACTTAATTGTAAATCTAGTATCCAGGAACTCAGTGAAAATCTATGATATAACGCTCTCAAATCAAAGCCCTGCAGTCAATTGGTTTTCCTGGGATTGCTTTCGTTTGCTTACCTTAACACCATCAAGCCTCGGAACTCTTTTAAAGTCAACAAGTTTAGGTGATAGTTGTTTAGTGTTGTTGACCGTTGTAGACTTAACTTCGACCTTTCTTTTTGCTTTTCCTCTATCTTTAGTCTTTGCACTTTTTGGAGCTGGAGTATTTTTCTCATCGGAGAATTTTGATTTTCCTTCATCAATCCTATCATCATTTTTCTTCTTGCTTGAATTATTTTGAGTTTTTACTTGTTTGGAACTCTTTTCAGTTTCCTCAATATTGTTTCTTTTATTTTGTTGCTCCTCGGACGAAGAGATAACTTTCGCTGTAGCTTCTACAGAAATCGTTCTTTCTTTGATAGGATTTTGTGTAGGGAACTGAGTGTTGTTTCTTCTTGTTTTCTGATCATTTGAAATGTCTTCAGCACGTTCTGAGCTCTTTTTGGCTTCTTTTATGGGATTTTCTTCGGGAACAACATTTCTTCTTGTTTTCTGCTCCTGTTTTAAGGCTTTTGATTTTAAATTATTCGCCCTATTAGCGTAGTAAAGACCCACAACTAGTGCAAGGCAGGCCAGTGTGCTCATTATTAAAGTAAACCAAGGATGCTTCGTCTTATTATATTGCTTTTTCTTTGCTTTTTGACCACTAGTTTTGCTTTTCGCC